AAATCAACAAGAAATCAAATAATAATAAATGTTGGTGAGTCTCTGATAAAGAGGGAACCCTCCTACATTGTTGGTGAAAATGTAAACTTGTACAACCATTATGAAAATCAATATGTAGTTTCCTTAAAAAAAACTAAAACTAGAAATCCCATTTCATCTAATTATTCCCCTACTAGTAATGTTCACAAAGGAGTTAAAGATATTATATTACAGTGATGGCATACATGCCCATGTTTACAGGTGCACAATTCATAATAGCTAAAGCTTGGAAGCAGCCTATATGTCTATCAATAGAAGAATGAATGAAAAATGTGGTATTTACACATAAAAGAATAATACACTGCTCTAAAGGATGAACAAGTCATTTTTAGGAAAACTGATACACTTTGAAAACGTAATGTTAAGAGGAATAAATCAAACAGAAGCTTCAATGGTTTATTTCATGTCAGAAATCCAAAGTATAAATAAAGAGGAAAATAAAAGATAGATTAAAGAAAACAGGAAGACAGATCTTTTGCAAATGGGAAGGGGACCAGAAGACAAAGGGAAAGGGAAGGAGGAGGAGATGGAGACATAAAAATGAATTAAGATGTGTCATGTACATGTACCAACTACCTACAGTGGAAGTAGTAGTTACATATTGTAAACATGTACTCATAAATTAAAAATCTCCAGAGAAAGTCTTGTGGGGAGGAGATATTCTCTTAAGGCCACTCTTCTGTCAAACTTGTGCTTCACTTTTCCACTCTTTTTTTTTATAACAGAGCTTTCTGGAAAAGGTTTTCTGAATTTCCTGTCTCTTAACTCTACTAATCTCACTGTGATCATAGTTAACTCTCGCACCCAACAGAAACTGGGTTTGTCTGGAAGGCAAATAGCCTTTATTCTGTCAAATCCAACATCACTGACCATTTCTTCTCCCTGTCTGATTTTTGTTACAACATTCTCCCCTTGCATTCCTCTACCTGCTTGTCTCCTTCTTAGTCTCTTTAGCAGTTTCTCCTTTGTTAAGATCTCTATTCAAAGACACACTCCAGACACTCAGGCCTTTTACCTACTTTTGATTCTTTGTTTTAGTGACCTTATAAACTGTTGCTTATATTTTTCCACAAAGCTTCCAATAGACACTATGTAGGCTCTGTTGGTCAGATGGTCCATTTCAACTACTTCACATTGTAGCACAGAAGTATCTATACACAAAGTATTCTTTTAAAATAATGTGACTCTGTTTCAATAAAATGTAATGTTACTAAAAACTGGTAGACCACAGTTGACTCACAGGCTACATTTTGGTAACTCACGTCTTATGCTATCTCTGTGCACTAAAGATGTAAATTTATCACTCCTCTCAGACCTTCCTGTGGATGTCTATCTTGTATACCCAAACTGTCAGCATTTCCACTTAGAGGTATAACAGATATCTCACATGCCATGTTTGCAAAAAGAATCTCAGTCTTCCTGCCACTCCCCGCGATACTTTGCCTTTCTTAAATTTGCTGAGGTTGAAATCCTTGATATCATTTCCCTCTTCTTCCACCTCCTCCTCTCTCCCACCCATCCTGTAAACCCTGTTGACTCTGTCCATAACCCAGCTTTTCTCATCAAATCCCCATCACTGCTTTTCCCAAGACATCATTCTCTCTAGCCTTGAATTGGGGCACAACTGTCCTGCTGGCCTTCTCTTTCTGCCTTTGATTCTCTGAAGTTTATTTTTAGCATAAAGAACAATATAATCTTTTAAGAGCATAATAGCTCAGGCTCTTCAATGTCTTCTTGATCCAGGGTAAGACAAAGCTTCACTAAGAACTACGATGCTTGTCACCTCTCCTCGCTTCTCATCCTTGCCCTAGCCTACTCCATTCCAGCCACCGTGGCTTTCTTGCCTTTCCTCAAACCCAGCTGGATTCTGCCCTCCCTCTACCTTCTGTCAAACATTCATTTTCTATCATCTGAGGATATGAAGATGTTACTAAGAGAGTTGTTTACTTTGAACTATATGCTCAATAACTAACAAATGAACAATATTTAATTAGTGTATATAATCACTTTTAATAGAAATTAGACTATCATGTCTAAAGAACATAATTAACAACTGTATAATTGAAACAGGCTTTGAAATCTGGCAGCTGTATATTCAAACCTTATGTCCATTGTTTTCTAACTTTGTGATTTCAGGCAAGTTACTGTTTAAGTAGTATAGCTAAAATTCCTTGGGTATATGTTAAGCTTTTGTAATAGTCAGGGCTTTTTTGAGGCTTAAACAAGGTGGTGCATGTTATAAATGCTACTTTGTCAGAGATGAGCATATTTGGGTGTTTGTTTTCTTCCCCGGATCAGCTTTTTATTGAGATTTGGTTTTTAGCATTTTCTGAGATTTCAGGAAAGCCAAAAGCATCCAACAAAACTAAAAATAGTGAAGCATTTGATGAACATCTCCATCATGTGATAGTAACATTCAATAAAGTAGCAGAAGTTGTGGTCACCCCTGGCAGAGCGGGTCAGTAACATGGGTCTCAGGGGCTTTGATTTCCTTCCCAGAATCACAAATATGCACAGAAAAACCCAATAAAATTCCATTTAATTAAATATATTGTACCATGTTGACATAATTGGCCATCTCAAACACCCTCTTTCTTATTTCATCTAGATCTTCATTGTACCTTTTAAACTAAAATATAAGACAGAAATAGGCATTAATACAAATTAATATAATTATAAAGTCAGAAAAGCAAATTGACATATTACTTATCAATGATTATAATTAAGGATCAATTATTAAAAGTTAGAGCCAAATTGACTCATTTCTCAGGCAAGTTAAGTCACTTTGTGAATATAGATTTTGTTTTCTCTCTTGAAGTATATGATCAGTATAAAACTCTTAGAAATTATTCCAAATATATTTTCAGCTGAATTTCATGGTTTCCTAACCTGTACAGAATCAGTACAAAGAATAGCTTACTCATTAAAATTAAAAAATATATATATAAATGAATAGTGAATGAATTCTACACATTAAGAGAGACTGATGTTTTAGGGCCTGAACTAATTTATTTATCCATATTTTTATGGGTCAGGTTTTCTGTTTTTAATATGAAATAGAGGGACTTCCTTTTCAGAAAACACAATATATGAAAGTGCCTTGTTATAAAACAAGATAAGCAGTGACTATCACCAAAGATCTACCTTTTTCCAAAGATCCCATTCACTGGACTTTTATATTTACTACTCTCTAATGAGCATCAGTTCTAACTTACAAGTGTTAACCTACTTTATGGAAGAAAATCTGATAAGAGAACTTCATTGAAAATTAAGTTTGGAGCACTTACAACAAGGAAAGAGCATTACAGGGTTAAAAATTAAATTTATGCATATCATATAATCTATTTCTGAACAGAAACAATTTTATCAACTTAATTATAAACATCAAACTTTATAAGTTCAAAATAACTTGTAACTCTAGGTTATATTCATGATTTTTAAAAATTGACATCGACATTTACTATCTCACATCATAAATAAATTTATGTAGAGAAGGATTTTAAAGAACATAGTTATCTGATATAATTACCTCACCATTGTCCAGGACCAAATAATATTCTATGTAATTGCTATGATTCTTGTTCTTCCGACCATCTAACTTCTGAAAAATAAGTAGGACCATTACTAAGATAACATCTTTCTCTGAAAGAATCCTTCTGTTATTTGGCATGTGTAATTGCATAAGAAGCTAGATGATATCTGTGAACAAAAGCAAACAATATTACCAGTTTAACACTCCTCAATGGTCAGGATTATTTGTAGGGAAGGCTCAGAATGTTAGAGCTAGAAGGGACATCAGTAATATTCCAGGGACAATTCTATTTTTCTAAACAAGTTAAATGATTTTGTCACTAATCACATAGGAGGAGCCGAAGCCAGTATTTGGATTTCATAAAGAGGGGATTTCTGCCACTATCGTGCCATGAAATAGACAAGCAGTGACTTCAATGTCTTTCCAGTGTATTTTTAAAATTTTATTTTATTGGTACATTTTAGGTGTACAATATAATGACATTCATCATTGGAAATTTGCACCTTTACATAATCTCTCTTGGTTCCTAATTTTGCC